TTTCCATTTTCCCTTGAGGCTGTTGTACACCGCATGCAATGCTACGTGTCGTTTGATGTATGCGTTATCAGAATGCATGGCCTCTAGAAATTCACGGCCTTTCTTAGATGAGGTGTCCGCGGGAGGCGCTAACCATGAACTGACGGTCGCCACCTACGAATACTCCCGTGTCCACCACCTCTATCTCTGAACGTATCTGATGATGGGCCGAAGGATTTGGAACGTCCGGCGGGTAGGATCCCTTTCCCAGCGAAAGCGTCGGTCCCCAGGGCGTTGGCTGGTTGAAGGATACCCGACGCGGCGTCGGACTAGCACCCGGTGGACTCCAGCCACGGAGTAGGCAGTCAGGCACGGCGGGAAAGCAATCGAAGAGCATGTAGAGATAAGGTCAACGACGCAATCGGGCACACAACTGACACATCAGCTACCTAAAACTCGCAAACTAGAGCGGCAAAAGGAAATGGTGAATGCAGTTCACCACCAAATGCGGCCTCGCCGCCCATTCCGCATCGACTCAAAAGCCTAAGCTGACGTGGAGGCAGACTGCGTTGATACATAAGCCAAGGGAACCGTCCCCCAACCAAACCGTCCTATGCGACTATTGACCGGCAAGCCACCCCCTAACCGGCCTCCTGGACTGTTCGAGCCTTGTGGTCTGCAGATGTGGACCAATGGCCTCAAGTAGCGCGATCTGTCCGACAAGGCGTCTAGCCGGAATCCGAGAAGTCATTTAGTAGATCCCACAGGAATCTAAGGAACTCCTTCTGCTCCAGAAGGGACATTGCCTGTCACCTTCAATCGGCCATACCCCTGGGCTGCGTTGAGCAATCAAATGCCCGTATCCCGTCGGACAATCAAGCCAGATCTGTGAATGTCATTTTGTGCCAAACTCGCAAATCTGCAGGAAAGTTACTTTGTACCCGCGGGTCATGCGACAATTAGTGGAACTGACAGCGGTCGCCAAACCCCCAACACTCAACAACGCTCGAGACAAGGTCGAAACAAGGATGGAGGGTGACGCATATCTCCCAAAAACGCTTTTTAAACTCATGACTTGTAGGTATTATAACCAGCGAGCTACCCTTATCTGCGGCGGTTTCATCGCCCTGATGTTAACACTCCAAATTTGTGGCAGAAACTCTACAGGGAAATTACTGCACTCACGTCTGTTCCGTAGTTGGGACTATCCGCCCCCGGCTTCCCGCCTGTCCCCTTGAATGGCAAGTGCAATGTCTGCCGAACGGGATGCAAAAGCAGGACCAAAATAAGAAATTCATAAACGAAAAAATGAGGGACAATGTAGGGGGGGCACTCCCATAAAAGGAAGCGCGACATCAGGTCTCTGTATAGAAAATAGAGATGGAGAGAAAGCGTTAGGATCGAAGGAATGAGAACAGCTGGTAGATCACTGAGTGGTCAGGTACTTGAGGGCCTCCTGGAGGTTCTTAATGGCAGTGGTCCGGTCGTCATAATCCAATGCGCTGATGGCGTACTTGGCATGCTTTACGGCTAATGCAGTAAGCTTAGGGTCTAACTTCCCCCCACTTTGGGCCGGCTCCTTGGAGGGCGAAGCCTGGGAGCTGTCCGCCTTCCCAGGACTTCCGCTGGAAGCCTCCTTAGGGGGTGCCGGCGGCTGCGAGGTGGGTTTGGCGTCCGCCGTGGGCTTAGAGAGGCTCTTGAGATCTGCAAGGAAGAGGTAAGATAGGGACAGACCGCGGTAGTTAGGTAAAATGGCTCCTGGCTGATTATCGTGATAAACAGGCGAACAGCAGAAGCCTCAAGGTGAACACAAAACAACAGCAGATTCGAGCTCTGCAGACTGATTCTGTCTGCCGGCACGTGGTTCTCTTAACGCATGCCAGAAACCAGACCCGATTTAGGATGTTTAAGGACGCGGCAAAACAGGGATACAAGAACCAGATTAACATCACCTACAGATGACGTTTTTAAAAAAACATAAAATTAGGACGCGCGTTTGCTTCTTCGGTAGTTGAAGCCCACAGCGCATAAACCCCCCAGACTACTTCCTTAAGGAGGTAGAAACCACTTGGTAAGAGATAGGATTCTAAAGTCAGTCGGAAGTGACCGCGCTGAAGGTGCGCCAGTATGGGCCAGAAAGAAAATGTGACGGTAATAAAATGCGGCAGGAAAATTGACTTCAATCTAGCCCAACATGAAGTCAGGCCGATGTACCCGGCTTCCACGACTACTAACTACTTGTAATTACCATGAAACATCATTCGTCACATCATGTAGACCTACAAAGTACCGCAACGTTATTGCCACCAGCTCAGGGGATGCAGTAGGAACCAGTGTCTGAGTGGCTCTGATTGTGCAAAGACCGTGCATCTGGTTTCGTAAGTCGCCGTTTTAGACATCACGCAGAAGTTACCACCTGGGTGGATAGATGGATGAGGGACGCAAAAGGCAGTAGATAGAGTGGAGAGTATAAAATGTAAGAATGATCAGTCTAAGTCTAAGAAAGTTGTAAACCGAACTGCCTGTTGGTCTACCAACTGGTTTTTAGCACATATTTTGGGCAGAATACAGCCGATGGAAGATAACGGCAAAACGAATGGGAATTTTTGCATATTTTTGTCCCAGGAACATGACTATAAACGCGATAGCTTATGGAAAATTCGGCAGTGACCCCGTTGGGGCGCCGTCTGCGCCTCTCATCTAACCGAGCGGATTGTGAACGACTGAGCTACCCGGGAAAATTCATCCATTCGGCCACTTGTTCTGTCAACTGTCCCATTTCACAGGCCAGTGGCCGAGGTTTCTCATGCAATCCACATTTATGAAGCCGACTCCCGTCCGGGTCACGAGGCAGCTGAGGACCAGGGTGGGAAACCGGAAGGCTGCGTAGACAATGACGCAGAATCAGTCATATCGCACGCGCTGTCTTGCCAACTGTATGCATTTCCTTCTGCTTGGTCTGGTCTCTACGTTCTAGGAAATGTTACGTTTAAGTTGAAACCTGCGGCTCTTTATAGCATATCCACCGCCCAACCGCTGGCTATGTCACGCTACTTCAGATGCCTGAAACGGCCTACAAGTCAATCCTACGTCTCGTATGGAAAGATGCTAACCACGATTTTGCTTGGTAAGTTTCACCGTGATGGTTATGGGCAGTGGCAACGCTGGTTTCGTTCTTAAAATCAAATATCACTTCAAAAGACTGTCATAACGGTTTCCCAAGTATGGTTTGTGATGGTTTCCTAGTTTTAAAAAACGAAGACTTTCCGGATACTTTGTAGATGTTTGTTTTAGTCAACGCGTAACAGTGTCAGGCTCGCCGTTAGTTTGACGGTAAAAAGCACTCTTGGATTTTTTGTAAAAAAAAACGCAAATGTGCTTACTACAGTGAGTGCATGAGGTTTACGATCCGAAATGTTTTGTACAGCTGCTTCTTTCAACGGCTTTGGCCAAAGGGACGACCCTAGTGACCAACCTTCATCTATGCATGCCCCAAAGCGGCGCTCCGACAAAGTCAGGGACGTAGTCGTGAGTAGGTAAAACCTCAAACGCAGGCTGTGCGGCGTGAGATTTGAACGTGGGCTGTTAGCTTTGATGTAAATATTAGCTACTGACCTTCGAACTATTGACCTAAGAGGCCACATTCTGCCAGCTACTATTGCGCGTAACGCTCATTGAAACAGTGTATATGCGGTAAGAGCGCACACGCCCTGGGGGGAGGGGGGGGCGAGTTAGGATTTCGTATGCAGTCGCAAAATTTAGAGAACTGCTTTGTTCTGGGATGCTGTCCGACCGATTAGGGCTACATGCAAATCACCTGCACGGTCTTCAACGTGGGCGGGATCGAGGCCCGTAGTTCGGCTGTAGTGTTTGACTTAGGTTTCCACGACGGTACTGGCTAGAGTGGTGATTCCGAATCTTCCAGACTTTGGTTTTGGTGTTGGCTAATTGAAGGCGGAAAGAGTAAACACTGGGCATTTAAGTTGCCCGGTTCTTATCAGTACAGAGCGGTTGATTCGCGGCCCGCGGCTCAGGTGGTAAGGCGTCAGGTTTAAATGCTCCTGACAACGGGCTCCTTGGTTTACAACTTCACAACGGGGAAACGGGTCCCCAAATTAGCCCAACCCTTGTACTTCACTCACTTGGTACAGATGTGATCATGTGTCCGATCAAACGGGCCCCGGTGATGTCACGATGAGTACTACTTCGCACAATAATCAGGAGTCGCGGATCTGGAGAGCTCGGCCTAATATCTTCTCCAGCGACGGAAGTCGAAAACCGAAAGTCCAAGAACCATCTAAATGGTCCGATAGACTTTTTTTGAGATATTTGGAGCTGTTCTTCGAAAACTCGATTGGGACAGAGATGTTGAATTCAAAGTGGCAGCACTGCACTTATGGAGCGAGCGATAAAGACGTGTTGAAAGCGCCTCGCCTATGCCTCTAGGTGGTACACAATATCCTCACGATGTTATCACAGCGCGTGTGTACTGTCTCATCTGAGACGAAATCCGCACACTAGTGATCAGGGAATTCCGATTCCTGCTGTGCTCCTACGCGCACAATGCGGTACTCCCGACTGATGCCCTGTAAACGTGGATTCGGTGACGATACGGATATTGCAACGGCGGCCTAAATTTGGAAAATTAGGACGTCAGTAAGCCGTTCTTCTGGCGGCAACATGACCCCGATGTATGGGAGATGGGAAAATGTTCCACCTTCTTACCTTATGAAAGTCTGCAAGGAATCCCGTCTGGTAATTAATCTTGGCACCAAGTCTTCGCTCCATTTCAGATGTTTCTGTCCGATTTTTATTTTCGAGTCGTCTCGCTCCCCTCTAGTTTTCTCCACAAATATCTGTTCAGCTCTCTGTTTGGTCTTGGATAAAACCCGTGGAAATCTCTAGCAAAAGAAGGCCCCGACTATTCAGTTTGTTGGTTAATGATACTGCTGGTTCTCCTACAAATCCCCAAGCACATTATAGTGTTTTATCTAATTTTGTAGTTTCTTAAGGAAGCACAGAGGTAGGAGAAGCATAAATCTAAATTATTTAAGTGTAACTCCATCCCACCGTGGTCTTCGTTGTTTCGTCCCCCTGATGGCGACAATAATTGGCAGACCCGACAATATCATGCCTTCACTGCGCCTGGCCAATTAGGTTCGCAAAACCGTGGTTAAACACCCCGCGAGATTCAAGGTAAGAGGTCGCCTACAGGCCTGATTAACCAGTCCGTCGACAAGTAATGTCACCGCAAAACCCGCCCCTAAAGATGAGGTCAGCCGCCGTCTGTCGAAATTAATTAGAGCTGCGTGGAGGATGACATCGCCACAGGAACCAGTCATATCTTAGACTAAGAAGGGCATCTGTTCCTTTGAAAATGACTTCGCAGACATGTTTTAATTCTTTGGGGAGATTTATGATTAAGTGTTTACTTCTAAAGCATGTATCAATTCTTTTCAAACGGTTGTAAAGGAGAAAAGCGCAACCATCTTACCGGGAACCGAAGATGCATCATCAACAGAAGCGGGACCCGCAACGGGAACTTCACCATTATCCAGGCATCTTTTTATATAAAGAGCCTTATACTTTGCGTACTTCCGAGCCTTCACAATCTGGCAAAGTGACGGTCAGGAAGGAAATATACCTCTGCGGGAACTTCGCCAAAGAAGGATAGTACATCCATCAAAATTCCTGCAGTCATAAAAGATTTTATTGTGGCACTAAAAAGTATTTAGTGTTTATCGCCAAATTACGGGCCAAAGTCGGAAGCTTCGTCTCGCTTAAACGCAAAGGCGAACAACTTCTGCGCATACTCTTCGATGTATGCCTGGCCGTGGAGTTCTGACGAAATGCGCTCATCATTCTTAAGTGCAAGTTTCATTGCGTCCAGATTATCTAATAATGCACCAAGGAAAGCCGAGCATTCTTTTGACTTCGCGTCAATTTTTACGCCTGTTTGAACGGCGTACATGCGGCCTGTGCTTAATAACATATAACAAATAAAACCTACAGTAATAAGCAACAACCTTGTCGCGCTCTTCGTGCTCTTGGGCACATTTGCATGCCATAGTAATGGCTTTTAAAGGCGCTGGAGGCTTGGACAAATCCATTTCGGTCCAGTTGTTGAAGTGACACACCTAAGTCAAACAGACGCTCCTATTGTCGTGTAGACAAACAAAACGCAATAACTGATATAATTCGTCTATAAAACGTTCTAAAAATCTCATGACTCTGCTAAATGCAAACGGTTTATCTGAAAATCTCTGAATTCTTTGATGTTTATTCTTTTACGGGGAAGAGTAAGCAAAGCGTGAAACGTCGGATCAACATTGGTGTGCTCAACGAATATGTAGATTAGATATGCTTTGGAGGCATGATGTTGAACTGGGGCAAACGATTTTTTGATTCTATATTACTTGTGCCCTTCCACTTACGAAACAGACGGCTTGCAACTTAAAATCAAAAATGTCCCCTTACTTTAGGTCATTCACTTTATTTCTTACCCCTCGCTTCGATTTGGTGTGAAAATATGGTGTAGTATTCAACCGCCAAGGCAGCATGGATGTCCCTCATTAACGTTTGCACACCAGTAATTTTATTCACAAAACCGCCTGGAGGAAGATAGGAGGAAATAGGGATTGCTTAAGCAGCAGAATTATTGATGCAAAGATGGTTGATACACAAAAGAGGATAATGTATTGCTGGAAGCCTGTAAAACCTGAGTGCTAACCAAATTTGCGGCGCCTCCAAATTAAACCCCCAACAGTGCTCGTTCTTAGAAACCCGAAAACGGAAATTACGCTTAAGTAGAAGTGCCAGGCCAAAAAAAATCGGTTACAGGCTCACCACTTGTCACAAATTAGATGAATGTAAAAGTATGGAAATATGGATATAGGCAGTCCCACTACAGGCGGTCTATAAGAACAGAAAGGACAAGTCTATTTAGGGAATAGAACATGGCCTCTACAACCAGCCACTAATACTAACCTTCAACCGCATGATACTATTAGACACCCTGAGATACAATGGTACAGTATTTACTACTTCTTAATAATAAGGCCAGGCATCCGGGAATCTGTTTTTTTACGCCAGCGTAAAACGGAAGTCAATAATAGTTTGGAAAGGAAAAAGTGCCAAAATGGAGTAAAGTATTTTTCAAACTTATCTTGTTTTCGGATTATGAGCCATGGCAAAGTAAAGCCAACTATTGCAGTAAGGGTTTAAGTTCAAATCATGCCTTTTTTCACACGTATCAGGAAATGACTACGTCGCATCGGCCACTTCTGGCATATTCCGCCACAGCAAACCATACTGTAACCCAGGAGTGAAAGGAGTATTCCACATTAATTACACTTTATATCACGCACTTCAGTGTAGACCACTCTAGCAATGTCGAAATCATGCAGTATTACTAGCAATACTTCAGATATTATCCTTACTACAACTACCACGACCATTATTACAGAGAATGACGCTGCCATCACCTCGTCTACTACCAACACTACTGACAAAACTGGCACAACGTGCACTATTGACAGTTCGACCATCGTTGTCGACTATGTCCACCGTGTGCTCCCCAGCAGGGTGGGGGCAGGATGGTGACATGCGTGTGCGTTAGCTGAAAGTGATAGTGGACTTTCGCTAAATCTACCGCTTTTTCTCACCCTTTCCCATTTGAACCCGGTGTCAAGACAGCGACAATAAGACTGGACGTGGAAGAGGGCGCAGGTGGCCGGCACGGCGTAAACTTGTAGTTATGCTTATCATCACAGCCCCTGATTCACAATGGAAATTGACTAAGACTTTATACACTGTGAGAATTCCAAGCGACGCGGTGTGAGCCTCCATATATTCTGGCCACTGCAGCCCAATGTTGGCATTTGTTACTAGTGCAAATCTCCGGTAAAACATGTCGGATTCCTATTCAGACCATGTGTTGGCCGAGCGCATGCACCGCGTGGTCAGTTTGAGGGGCAAAATTAGTACTATTGTAACTCCTCAAACGAGGTTTAGCCTTCTGCCTCTGGCACCCACGCCATGTTAGGATTCATGTGGTCACGACCCTCGAGCGCCAGAACGTGAACACATTCAGCCCTGAGGATAGCTAATCACGGGCGACCACAAACTTCACTATCACGCAATCAGCTGACCAGACCGGCACTGACTGACCCTCATATAACGCTTATTCACTCACGCCCATGTCACCCTTGCGCACGGACGAGCGCTGGCCTGCAGCTGGCCCAGCGCTGGGGTATCTAGCAGCCACCAGAACACACCACTCCTCCTGGTGTCTTCCCCCTTCTCCTCTAAAATGGGACTGGACCGTGATTATTGTGACGCCCTGGGAACACTCACACCGATTAGTCGCTGTGTCACCACCATCATTACTACCTCAGCAACTACTACTACTATCACACCCACTATAGCTACTTCCACTGCTGCTGCTACTACTACCATCAATATTCACACTCTTTCCAATAAAGTCATTGTCACAGCTACCACCATTGACACCAATAACGCAGTGGTCGCTACCGCGAACACAACCGCCACTGCGATCACTCTCATCTCTACTACTACCACTGCTCTTACTACTGTAACCACTAGAAATTCGGTAGCATGGATAGTCAATACCAGGTTTCAAAATGAGTATGGTTCTGGAAGAAATACTGTGGAAGATAGGAAAGTGCTGCCGATGTTGAATTGTCGATTATAGATTATAACACAAGAAACTTTGAAACCTGCAAGGATCTCTAAGGTCTTTTAATAATTAAAATCGTTATGCTGAATTCCAGTTTGATTCCAGCAACAATACGAAAGAAACTTGTAAACGCAGTGTGTGCTCAAATTAACCTATCCGGTACTAATTTGTGTGGCCGTGGAATGCACGTATTGAACGAAAGATTCCACAAAAGCCGCAGTACTGAAAGGTTTCATAAAATATAAAAGATTGAATAGGATGGCACGCTGTATTAACTTTCAGTGATATACAAAAGAAGTCTTAAGGTCTAATTTCTTTCTGTGTATCTGTATTTTTTATTCGTCAAGCTCCCCCTTTAAATCGAGTTTTTAATTTTAAAATAAATCCGTTAGCATTCCATCCCTTTTTAATTATACCAAAACATGCTTAAATTCTGCTGACAATTCCATGTAACTGTCAAAAGTAGTGGTTGTAAATTTTGATTCCACAGTCACCAAATCAAGTCGTGGTTAACAGGAGCAAATAAAAGGCGCGATATAAAAGTTTTTATGCACAGAACACCGATTCATTGACCCTTGTAGCTGTGACCGCTGGTTAGGCCAGGGGGTTTGCCGATGGTGTCGATCCGTGCCTGGGATAGAGGCAGTGATGTCAACTGCATTTACGGGTTTGTGGTAGCAGGGTCAAGTGGTGTGTGCCACCCTAGCCGAGGGGTCCCATGTTCAAATGGCCGGCTATGACCGTTTCAATGTTTGCGTGTGCACACTTTGCGAGGTGTATGGAGTACTGTGAGCGGGAACCTACGTTGTATCCGTACGATGGCACCAAGTCTATCGATACTTTTGGATGAAAATTGCGTAACCTTACATTTGAGACTACACTCTGCAGCAAATGCCATATTGATAATTACCAGGCACGAAAATGCAGCCCAAACGACGCCAAATGGGCCTGGTAGTGCAGGCACGACTATGGTGGTAAAAAGCAGCTATAAACGATACACTGATGCCCCCCCCCCCCCCCAAAAAAAACGCATCGTCGAACATCGTGGATATATTTGCTCCGCCCCGTCCCGACATCCCGCTCTCACCTCTGTTTAGCCCCACGGTCACACACTGGAAACCGTCTTTCGTTAGCCGGATAAATCAGACGAGAGTGTCCGCTGTATGCGTTTCCACACCCAACAATCCTGAATTAATACCCAACCTCCCTTCCTTTGTCGAAGAGTGCGACATCTTATCCTATACATGACCCAGGCCAATTCCGGTCGTTATTGCCTTTAAAAAAGTTGCAACCCATGGTGGAATTTGGCGACCGCTTGAGATGACTTAGAAGCCATATGCAGGTGTTACACTGCTTACTTTCTTGCGATGAGGGGTTTAAAAAGATGCCCTATAAATTGCTGTTAAAATGCGCCATCGGAAACCTGATCGAAATTACACTGCTCATCTTTGCAGCCTGGAATTTTCGTATGCTTTCAAACATTTCATTGAAAAAAAGGTCGAAAAAAGGGCTGCTTTGGTCGTCCGTGAAATAGTCCGCTATAAAGGGGACAGTGCGGCTCAATGAAACCAGCTTCTCTTAGCAGGGACAATTGGAGACAGTTGGTGTCGGATACAAATTCCGGGGCGGATGTTCAAAGACGACGTGCCCAGAAGTTGGATTCGTCTTCGTCATCAGGGACGTCATTAGACGACTGTCTTGCTGCTATAGGGCGTGAATGGTCGCCCCATGACCATGACGCTCTCACTCAGTGGGAACGAACTTACCATCAGCGTCAACGTTTCATCTCCCCAAAGACCAGCTCCTAGGACGTGAGGAATATGTTCTACGAAGGCCGTACGCCCTCTCAGCAACTGTCTTAAGGGTGGCAAACTAGTTGTTCTTGGTGAAGTCATTTTCCGCGTCGCCATTGACAATGCTGAAGAGGAAGAGTACTCGGACACCTTGGGACCGGCAACAGCAAAAGCATTGACCTTCTCCTTCTGTAGACCTGCTCGGAACACAGCCTTATCTTATCAACACATTCCTACTTTAGATAAAAAAAAAAAGGAAAGTAATGCGAATGCCTCCTTGTCCGCGTCACTGCCATTTGCTGAACAATGTCGTAGTTCTGAAGCCTGACCCTCATTACGTACTCCTAACTATGACGATATGCAGTGCCGGCTCCTGGACAAATTACTGCCGTCTGGTCTTCTATGTGAGGCTTCAACTGCAGATGCGCAGGCGACTGTCAAGTAAGCTGTCATCCAATGCTGTATTACATGATATTGCAAAACGCCGACTGAATTTTAGCAGGCGTGTGACCTCCAAACCGGAAAAAATACAAAATTTAAAAGTGGATACTGTTATGTATGCAAAACAGAAGGGTAATTGGAAATAGGACGTGTACTGAGTACGATAGACAGCAGAAGTGAGGTGGCTTGGGGGAACGGCCGGGTATATGGCAAGGGGGACTGTCATAGGCTAATGGGTGGCCAATCAGCACAAAGAAGGTGTGAACAGGGGGCCATGACCTTGATCGTTCGCTTGTCACGCGTTTGTGGCATGATGTCCTGACGGCCCGAGCCAGATACGCTGCATCCCTCCACCCTAAAGTGGAGAGCATGAGGGGGGGAACAGTAAAGGTAATAGTGGATAGTCAGACAATGTTCTAATAAGATTCGTCCTGAAAGCGTTGGACAGGTTTGCGGATTCGGGTCGACCTTCTCAGGGCGGTATTTTCTACCTCTGCGCCGCTTTGTGCGGTCACTGGCTCCTATGCCCCTAAGCTAGTGCTGGACGAGGTAGAAGGAGGTGGAACATACGCCTCGGTCGGTGGCGTAGTGCTCTGTGCAGGCGGTAGGGGTTCAGTCCTCGGGATGTCTGGATCCCTATCAAGGGTTGCTGGCAGTTCGAACTTTCCGAATTCTCTACTTGCTGTGTCCGTTCGGCTTCGAACTTGGTCCAGATGTCGACGCACAATTCTCCCATCTTCTAACTCTAATTCCACTATTTGCCCCTCGCTTGTTCGAACTACCGCTGGACACCAGTTCGTTTCGTGTTCCAGTCGCGTGTAGACACTTTCGTTAGGCGCGACGACTCGTGGTCGGGTGTTCACATCATAACGTTCTTTCATCTTCGTCTGTTTTGCAATGACCCTATCCTGCGTTGATGGATTAAGCAGGTCGAGTCGTGTGCGCAACTGCCGCTTGAAAATCAATTCTGCAGGCGAAGCACCGGTTGAGTCGTTCGGTGTTATGCGATAGCTGAACAGAAAGCGTGACAACTTGGTGGCCAAGTCCGCTTCTGTCTGTCTGGCTAGTCCGTGCTTTATTGTCTGGACTGCACGCTCTGCGAGGCCATTTGAAGCAGCGTGGTACGGGGCAGTAGTTAAATGTCTAATTCCATTTTTCTCCATGAAATCTTTAAATTCTGCACTAGTAAAGGCCGGACCATTGTCTGAAACGACCATTTCAGGTATCCCAAAAGTAGAAAAAACGGTTCGCAACTTGTTGATTGTAGTCAGTGAAGAACAAGAATTTCCTGTCGGAATCGCATCTATCCATTTCGTGTGGGCGTCAACTATCACCAAAACCATATGGCCTTGGAATGGTCCAAAATAATCGACGTGTACCCTCTTCCACGGTGAGTCGGGCCAGGCCCAAGGCTTCAGAGGAACCTTCGGTAAGGTCTTCTGTGTTCTTTGGCACACGTGACATGCTTTCACCACGTTTTCTATATCTGCGTCAATTTTGGGCCACCAAACATAACTGCGGGCGAGAGCTTTCATTCTAACTGTACCAGGATGAGCATTATGCAGGTCTCTGAGGATGGCCCGTCGGCCTTGTGGTGGCACAACTACACGATTGCCCATAGTATGCATCCGTCTTGTAGACTTAACTCGTTCTGACGGCTGAAGAATGGTTGAAAATCAGAGGAGGTAGAGGACGGCCAGCCATATTGCAAGGCTCTTTTTACCCGACTCAGGAGAGGGTCTCTCGATGTCCACTGTCGAATTTGTTGACAGGTTACAGGTGAGTTGACTAGGTTCCGCAAAAGATTCACCGTCTCAAAACCAGGTGCCCCGTTAATGCCAACGTCCACGATAGGCAGCCTACTCAAGGCGTCAGCCACTACGTTTGCACTACCTGTAATGTACTTCATTTCATACGTGTAAGCAGTCAAAGTGAGTGCCCAACGTTGCATTCTCGGCGAGGACATCTGTTGTATCCCTCGTTTTTCTCCCAGCAAACCTAAGAGGGGTTTGTGATCAGTGTGAATCTCAAAGGGTCGGCCAAAAAGATACAGGTGGAAGCGATGTAGGCCAAACATTATTGCTAAGGCCTCTTTGTCTAGTTGCGAATAGTTGGTTTCCGCCTGTGACATGGTTCTTGATGCAAAGGCAATCGGCATCTCCGCACCAGAAGGCATTCGATGCATGAGGACCGCACCTACGCCGTACGGAGACGCATCACATTTCAGTATGGTAGGCTTTTCGGGGTCATAGTGAACTAGGACAGATGAGGAGGTAAGAGCCGCCTTCGCTTGTTCAAAAGCACTTTGTTCGACCTCCGACCAGTGCCAGCAACGATTCTTTTCAAGTAGTCGATAAAGAGGCTTTAGAATTGTAGCCGATTGATTCATAAAGCGACTAAAGTGGGTGGCCAACCCCAGGAATGAACGCAATTGACTAGTATTGTTGGGGCGCGGCGCCGTCTTCAAGGCTTTGAGCTTATGTTCGAGTGGATGGAGGCCAGTTTTATCCACCCTGAAGCCTAGGTAGTCTACCGAGTCGGCAAGGAAAGTACACTTATCTTTCCTGAGTTTAAAACCGGCGTCCTCTAAACGTCCTAACACGATGTTTAGAGTCTCTAGATGACTATGTTCAGATGGGCCGGTAACTAATATATCGTCAAGATATGCGCAAACGTGAGGTATATCCTTCACGAGGTTATTAATCAAGCATTGAAATAAACCGGGAACCGAACTTACTACAAATGGTAGTCTTTTATATCGAAATAAACCCCGATGCGTATTGATGGTGGTGGCGTCTCGGGATTCAGTATCTAGGACGACTTGGTTGTAGGCATGCTTTAGGTCCAAAGTTGAAAACTGATGACCACCCGAGAGAGATGCGTACAGATCCTCGATGCGCGGGAGAGGATAGGGGTTCAGTTTAGTTGCTGAGTTGATTGTCAGCTTGTAGTCGCCACAGATACGCACAGAACCATCGGTTTTAAGAACAGGAACTATTGGGGCTGCCCATTCCGAATATTGCACGGACTCAATAATATCTGCTTTCTGTAGGCGATCCAGCTCTTCTTCGACCTTCGGTGCGACTGCATAGGGGACTGTACGAGCTTTGAAGAACCGGGGCCGGAAATCTGACTGAAACTGGAACTTAACAGGTGGACCGCGGTAGTGGGTAGTAGAATCGTCACGAAATAGATCCTTATGATTTACCAAAATTGAATCTAAAGCCGGATTTACACCAATCCGATGTACATAGGATAGCACCGAAGGCACGCATTTAATCCAATTCCGTCCAAGGAGATTTGGTTGCTGGCTTCTTCTCACCACATGAACCGGCAAGTAATGAAGTTCTCCATCATGCTCGACTTCGGCTGTAAAGACCCCTCAAACCTCTACGTTCTGTCCAGTGTAACTACGGAATGTTGAGCTGGCCGGAAGGAGTGAGGGTAATTTCGGAAGGGAGGCCTCATTGATGAGAGTAACAGCTGAGCCAGTGTCGATTTCAAACTTCACGGGATGGTGATCAACCGGAAGCGTGATGGTGTAGGGCGATTGGAGCGGCGCGTTGGCCGAAAACATTCGGAGTATCGCCTCGCCATCCCCAGTTGGATTAGGGTAGGTTGCATGCGTGTTAGTATTCGCTCGTCTTTTGGAGAAACACACTCGTTCGATGTGGCCGACTTTCTTGCAAAACTGGCATACCGTCTTCTGGTGTCTACAGTCTGACCACCGGATATGATGCTGACCACAACGGTAGCAGGATGGTAGTTGTTTTGAGGGAGCTGAGGGTCGCTGTTTAGGTGAAGACACAGCAGTGTTGACTAGGGAGACAGCCATTTCAGATTCCAAGGATGCTATCACTCCATCATTTGACTGATTCAGCTGCTGAAGGTTTTGTCGCACGCGCTCCCGATGACTGGCGATATCACAGGCTTTCTCCCATGACAAATCCTTCTTCTCTGATAAGAGATTTTCCCGAGCTTTTTCATCGCGCAGACCGACGATCAACTGCTGAAAGAGCATTGCGTGCTCGAAGTTGTCTGCCTTGATCTCTTTATACCCACAGTCCTGGATGGCCAGAGTCAGATTAGTAATAAAATCACTGACACATTGATTGGATTCTTGACGCATTTGACAAAACCGATAGCGACTGAGAAAGACGTTGTCTTTTTCTCCCCACGCTGACTCGAGTTTTGAGAAGGCTGTATGGAGATCTATAGCCTTTTGTAGATTGAGGGCATCGAAATATCGTTGTCCCAACTCTCCGAGATTCGTCCGAAGTAGTTTCAACTTAGATGGGACGTCTAGTACAATCGTGGGTGACAAAATCGGGAGCAGTTCAATATAATCCTCAAATGTCTTCCTCCATTGCAACCACGAGTCATTTGAGGGCTTCTGGGTGTTCTTTGGCCAGAAAGATAACGGTGTAGGCAGCAATGAAGACATGTTCGTTAGGCTGCGTCGCCAATGTTATGTATGCAAAACAGAAGGGTAATTGGAAATAGGACGTGTACTGAGTACGATAGACAGCACAAGTGAGGTGGCTTGTGGGAACGGCCGGGTATATGGCAAGGGGGACTGTCATAGGCTAATGGGTGGCCAATCAGCACAAAGAAGGTGTGAACAGGGGGGCCATGACCTTGATCGTTCGCTTGTCACGCGTTTGTGGCATGATGTCCTGACGGCCCGAGCCAGATACGCTGCAGATACGACTGCCGAAATCCAGGGAAGGTAGCCGGGGAATACCACCCAGGCCACTGTAATAGAGTCCTGCGGTCGCGCACCTCGTCAGCACCCGAAACGCCTTAATGACAATTATCCCGACTACGCCGAGACCCGCATCAAAGTTGATGGAACCCGTCTACCAACAGTGGGGAAATTCGCGTGCCTCCAGAGTGCAATTTCAAGAAACATCAAGACTAGTGACGATACCGTAAGTCAGGTCCCAAAACTGGTCAGGCTTTCGGCCGGCTAAACCACTACATCTGGAACTTTCAGTCACGGCATCCTAATAAGCTGAAAACTGAGGACTTACAAGGCTGTTCCTCCGAAAACTCCTTTGTATGGAGCTGAGCTGCGGGCCGTTTATTAAGGTCAAGCTAAAGGGCTCAGCCCTTCTTACCTCGGCTCTGCTCGAAGAATGCTGTAGGGGAAGTAGCAGGAAAGGATCCCAGACAGTGAGATCCTTGAAAGAACTGGCGTCCTCGGTATCCACAACATAATGAGAAAGATGCAGTTGATAATGGGGAGGTCACGCTACAAAGACGAACGACGAACACCTGCACACGCGGCTTTCCCACGTCGACGCAGCTGCTGGCCAGGTGCATGCGACCGAATAAGCCCGTGAGGTGAATAAACGTGCGTAGACAGTATGGACAGTAGAGACGGATGTGGCGAGTGTATTTGGAGACCTCCGGCACTGGTTTGCCGGTCGCTGCATGGAGACGGAGTCGAGGCGCACACTTCCCACCTGCGTGGCACGTGACAATTGGATGCTTGTACTGGACGACGGTGATGTTGCGTGATGCAGATGAACGAAGACGTGATGGTGTGGCTTAGCCGGTGGTTGCCTGCCCCAGGTCTTCGTAAATGCGCATGTGGCCTAATAGGCCCATGCGGTGAGCGAATGTGCGAGTGCAGTGAGGGCAGTTGAGGGGGTTACGGTGAGTGTACGTGGGTGCTCAAGGTACTGGTTTGCCAGTCTCTGTTCGATGGACTCACATATGACCGACCGGGCGAATGTGTAAGGGGAGTCTCTGGCGACGGTGGGGACAAGAAAAGTCGACGGTGTGAGCGTCGGTTTCGGAGACGGCGGCAGTGGTGGAGCTGCTGATAGTAGACACGCTGGGCGACAGGGTGTAGCTTGAGCTAGGTACGGTGGATGTGCAAGAGGTGCTGAGTGTGGTGGAGCTAATGACGGTGTGTGATGGGCGGTAGGCTGTGGTTTGAGCTAGGCATAGTAGATATGCAGGAGGTGCTAGGTGTGTCGAGACTGCGATCAATTCCGCTGTGAGTATTCGGGGGCAGTGTGGATAGTGGAGGCTACTGTAGGTTGGTGCTCCAGGCACGGGTTCAGCAGTCTCTGGACGCTGGATTCGCAGGTGACCGGCCAGGCCGATGAGTAAGACCCATGTGCGATCGTAAAGGGTACAGGTTGGTATCAAGTACACATTGCTGGTGGTTGACGAGGTGGCAGCAGTGGGACAGCTGGTAATAATCGCCGCTGTCACGGAGGTTGTGGCAGAAATGATGGAGATGGCGGCGATCGACGTCGGCAGGGCATCGACGGGGTACTGATCGATGCTGAGTGAGGTTATCACCGTGCTCTCCATGGAGGTTGGTACAGCGGCGACGATGAGAGCGATTGTGGATGCAGCCGCTGGGGTTGTTGGGCTGTTGTTGCATCTGGTCTCGAGATATTTGATGAGACCAGCCTGCAAGCGGGAAGTCCGCTGACAGCGTTAACATGTTGAAAGGTGTTAGGTGTTGGATTTGCGAGTCGGAGACTTATGAGCATCTCTTTTGGCTCTGGTAGTGGTTATCCTGTTGGCTTCATAGTCTTCTGTTCCAGTCTTCACTGCCCTCCTACAGAACAGTCGGTCCTGTGCCCGGTCTTACAGGGTTTTCTGGTTGATTTATAAGTGCAGTAGAGTGTGCTGAAATGTCCTGTTTGAGCCTCTATCGAGACATCCTCGTAGAGGATTCGCCAGAGTAGTAGCTCATCGTCTATTCCCACGAAGTGGTGCGGATTCTGCAGATTCCGGCCCGATCCAAAACTTCCCCTTCCGGGATACAGTCCTGCCACCTCAGTCTTACGATTCTCTTAAGACAACCGAGGTGGACGGGACTGAGTCTTCTCGCTTGTTTCTTGCAGACTATTCAGGTCTCCACACCATTCAACAGCGTCGTCATGATGACAGCTTTGTGAATCTTCAGCTTGGTATTGAGGTCAAAACCACCGCGACTCCATACTGCGTTCTACAGCGGGTCGACGGCCTGGCCGAATTTCGAGAATCGATGAGCCGCTTCGTTATTGACCTTGACACAGCGAGGATATCCTTCTTAAGTAAGTGAAATTATCCACAATTTCCGACTGGATGTCGTTGGCGTGGTTGCCAGGAACATTGAATGCAGTGTTGGGTAGTGGTTGGTGCAGAACTCCGGTTTTGTCCATATCGACTGTCAGCCGGAAGCAGGCGCAGCCGGCGGCGAAGAGGTCTGTTGCATATCTGCTTCTGTCGCGTTGTGGGGCGCGCTGTCGTCCACGATGCGCAAGTCGTGAACAAATTCGTGCTGGATCCTGAATACGTAGGAGGTTTGGAAGCCTGCTGTCGGTCCTGTAGGGTATGCTGATCCGGAGGCGCTAAACACAGCAGACAGAATGCATGAGAATTAAGGGGCTAGAGGGGCAACTTCGCAAATATGCCTTACTTCCTTGGCTTGTGTAGATGCTTCTGAGACGATCTCACTGTCTGCGACGCTCGCCACCATCCTCCGCGAAGCTTTCCTATCATGTGCGTGAATCGCCCAGCATAACCGAATTTCGGCGTGATTTTCCACAGTCCATCACGATTCGCCGTGTTAAAGGTCTTTCTTAGGTCCAAGCAGGTCCGCATTTCCTGGTATTTAGCTTGTAGTTGGCGGGCGACGGAGATACTCCGGTGTCGTTGACGGTCATACTGGCTTTCCTAGAGAATTCCCTGTTCTAGGCGGTCATTAAGGCGATTGAGGAGGATGCGAGCAAAGATCATTCCTGCAGGGTTGAATGGGAATATGCCTCGGTGGTTAACGCAGAGTTGCCGGTTCCCTTGTCGCTTGTAGAAATGGACGATTTTCGCGTTCTTGAAATCCCGAGGAACTCGTTCTTGACACCAAGTCTCCCGAAATATCGTCAGTTTTTCAATTAGCTAAGGGCCATCGTGCTTGTAATTTTCGGCGGGAATCGCGTCGGATCCCGTGCCTTCCTACTGGAGGATTGTTGGGCGGCTCTGATGGTTTCTGGGAGGGAAGGTGGGAGGTCTGGGTCGTTATTCCCTCCCACTTAGGGGAGCCGGTCGATGACGACGTCGAAGGTCGTGGATGGACGGTTGAGGACACCCGCCCCGGCGGGTGTGGGGACACAAGCAACATTGGATACCTCCATCTGATTTAGCTCGCCGATCGAGGTGGCTACCGGGGTGTGGCCGTTAGACAGAACCTAGCTTCAAGGAGACACATTTGAGAATTGGGTGCCAACTAAGGGCCATGAAGTGCAGTCACCAATGCATGGCACGACCTACCACCCATGCATGGGCACCCCTAACTGGACACTTCTACCCCTCTCACTGGTCACAGTCTTATCCTGTCCTCACTGTCATCGCATATTTGCATTACGCACCGACCCAGTCGGGATCCAGCGAACCCATCGCATTAAGAATGGTGTGCCGGTGCCAGGAACCCGTCGCGTCCGCTTCACCTGCTTACACAGTTCAAGGACATTCGGCCATCGCTTCTGCACCCGATCCGGCCTCCGGTCTTGACATCGGGCCCAGGTTCGCGGGGGAGGATGGAGTGAGATAGGTGCTGCGAAAGTCTGCCCCGCCATAAATTAATTCACGGAAAAATCGCCGGTGTTGGATCCACCCTACTGTAGGACACACTGTCGATTGTGATCGTCAAACTATCGCAGTACATGTTGCAGTCATTCAGGCTGTAAGGTCTGCGCCTTTGGAACCGTCGACTGCAAAGGTGGATGATCCTGACACAGCACCGAACATTGTAATGATGACTGACGGCTACTAGCCTTCCGAGCGCGGTTGTAATCATGGTTGAAAAAATTTACTGTTAACTACCGAAATGTGCAAAACTCGGCGGGGTTCGGGCCTGTAATGGAAAGGGCAAGACTTTTGTGTAGCCAGCGCTGTAACCGCCTAAGCTGCGGGGATTCGAACGAGAGACCCGACTTTCTCATACATGAACTAAGTCATTCTCTTTAACAAATTCTCATCGGGCTAGTACATTTGTATGGAAAAGATGTACAAAGTAGAGCGTGTGGGCGATAAGGTTAATCGATTATGGTTCGTCTTTTCCTACAAGCGGGGTGCGTGACTAAGGGTAGGGAGGGAGGAGACAATAAGTGGCCGTGAGGGTCACGTGGATCCGTGTTGCAGGGGGGGAGGGGGGCGGAGGGGGACGAGGGCGCGGAGCCAAGTATGCAATTAATCGATCTTTGACCACGGTAGACGCGAAGCGTGCAAGAGGTCATTCTGCGCGCACAGGACCGCCCTCCGGAGCCTGATGGGAGTCGCTTCTGTTGTTGCTGGTAAGCGCCGGTTCAGTCGTTAGGAGTAGTTAGGTGGGACCTTTTAAATCACACGGAAGGCCTCGTTAGGGTCCATGCGATGCCCAGAATCAACCACGTGCGCGAGGATGGAGCTGTGTATGCCCTCCCCCTCCCCCCTAGTAGATGGCGAACCTGATGAGTATCTGACGAATTCTAGATTGGCTGCCCAGAAGAACCAGTTTAAGCAGTCAGCCTACTGCATTGGAATTGGTCGAGTCCATACACCACAGTCGGTGGGGAGAATGAAGATGCGAAAAGGTCAAGGCCCGCCGTCGGTGGCTCATAAGTCGGATGCTTAGGCAGCCGGCTTTACTTAGGTCTCGCGTCTTCTATCGTGTGTCCAGATTCCGCCGAAGTTGTTCACTCTTTGACAGCTGGGTAGCCATTTAAAATCCACCGAACCGCCCCCCCCCCCCTCCCTGCCAATGACTGTTTCATAATCTCAAAAATCCTCAACATCCATGCGCATACGCAAGAAACTCACCTTATCTAATCAGAATTAACGAGCGCGGTTTACCCTTTCGTTGGGTTTTGGGCGCTCGAAAGGTGCGCAACTGTGGTGTCAGACTTTGATGAGGACCAAGCACCTGGAGGCGAGGATTTAATGCCACATCAACTACTCCACCCATGTCCATCATCGGTCCTCTTCCGACTGGAACATGGCGGCCGAGAAAGGACAGAGTGAAGCCGGCGCTTTATGAGTTCCCCCCGTCATAGTCTAACTCACACGACAACATGCCACCAATACTACCTCGCGGGGTACGACTGACTAGCAGCACAAACCACCAGGTCGACATTAGTGAGCACGAAAATAGACTTACAAGCCTAATTCGTCTTCCAAAATAAGACGTCTAGACGCAGCACAAACCCCTCTCTCTCCCATACTGGGGCAACGGTATAGAGAAGGACCCCACTTAACTGTCAGTGGACTGCGGATCGTGTCATAGGGGGTTATATCTTGGCATGCATTTGCAGGCCGTTGCAGAAAATACACTGCCGACAACGATTACTTCCCACGACCTCGCACCTTAACTCAAAATCGGTTATTTCGTGAAATTTACTTTTTGATTTTTGTTTAATTACTACCCTCATTCCCGTTGTCGCACAATAGCGTAGGATAAGACTTTCGGCATAAATCCAGGCAATTTCTGTGTTTTCTTTCATTTTGTCAGTTTACTGTCTAGCTTTCTGCCCCACCCACAAAAATCCTTTTACCATAAATTTCGTATGGCACGATCCACAGTCTACTGACAGTTAAGTGGGGTCCTTCTCTATACCATTGTCCCATTATTACTCGCGTTTCCCCTTTGCATGCGTCTTGCCCGACCCCACCGGAACTCCTGCTTAACCATTTTAATATGCCATTTTGCGAGACCATAAAGTGGTAAAGGAGAGCGTCCCGGGAATTCAGTTGGAAGTCGAAGCCCACATTCCAGATTGACACCTTTTCGACTTGGTCTGCGTTCTCACTTAACTGATATCTGCGAAAGCGGTTCAAAGATCTTCCCGAAAGGGCGTTAACTTGTCGAAAGTAGTGTGGTCGACAAGATAAAGATTCCCAATCAAAAGTCAGGGAAGACGGTTTGAGTTGGACAACCTTTACTGCCTGAGAAAGTGCGTACACAAGGGCTCTGTAGGCAGTTGCCGCGAGCGCGCTCCAAGCAAGCTGTTGTCTGTCTCCGCCCTCGGGGTGTTGTCTCTGCGCGTGTGTGCGCCCTTTGTTGTCTCCACGTCCGCCAGCCAATCAGAGTGGGGACAGCGTTAATTGGCTTCGAGCACTCGCGCGTCCCAGGGGCGTATCGACACGGAGTGTGAGGCGGACATGACGGCAGCGTGACAAAGGCGGAAGGCAAGGAGACGCAAACTGCCACAAACTAAGAACCTGAGCAGTGCTTAACCATATTTTCAAGTTTCGAGAGGCCGAAATCCTCACAAGGGGTGACAACCGAGTGAGCGGCCAGCTGCTCGAGTCATGGTTCTTAGGCCCGAAATTTACCAACAAGCGCAATAACCTTCCGGTACCATATTTCGTGCTGAGATTTTCCCTGGACAGGGGAGTCAGTCAGATGTGGAGGTCACGGGCGTGCAATTATCCCAGTGACAGTGAGCCAGTATGCCGAACAATCGTCATATCAGCATCCACCACGGATGACGAAATCACGGCAATTAACGACTCGGACTCAGACTGACAAGCCACCACCGCACCAATTACGACCCCAGCGGTGACTGTGCGAGCTGTTAATTACAGCACGCATATGGTCCCGCGGCGGCCACGTGTTATAAATACTGCACTCCTGGTGCCACCATCACCTTTATCTGCGAATGTCTCTGATGATGGATTCGAGTGAGGACCCGAAACGTCAGGCAAATAAATTTCTTGTTCCAGTGATCGCATTTTCGTCGTCTGAAGTGGAAGTTTCCCCAATGCCTTCCACGGATACCATTAATTGCCGCATCCATCTGCCCTACCGATAAAACAAATATGAACATCCTTCCCTGTAGCAGGCGTTCCTGGGCTCTGTTTTCTCAATGGGCCTACATATCCAGTTCTCTCCGATTTCCTGCTCCTGCGAGACGGACCCGTATGGGCGTAAGGTATACGCCGGGATGTTCGAAGTGAAATTAATATTTCCACCAGAGGGTAATATTCGAACTGTATCTTTAATTTTCTCAGTCACTTTCTGGCATGGTGACATGGACATTACTCAGCACCGGATAGCGACCCAAACGGCTACCTGAGTGGTCCTCCCTAAACCACTTTCGTCGGTCCCAAGGGTGCATTGAGTGCAGTCTTTGCAGGCCGCCGGAGTAGCGCCGGGCCATCACGGGGACCACATTGAAACATGGCGCGCGTTATTTTGGCTGCGAACTAATAAAAAAGGCGATGAATGCGGGTGTGGAGGCACGCCTAGGCGCAGGTTCGCGCCGCACCAGCTATCTGAGTTGAGTCCCCCCACCAGACAAATGACCGGCTTAGCCAGTGGATTAGTATCCGGGAGAGGGAAGAGTCAGGTCGATCCTTAGCGCATTTTACTCGCCATAAATAATCTGACATGCTTTTAAACTATCGCTTTGCCTTAAAGTCCTTGGCATGAAGTGCTACCAACTAACATGACAGCTCATTCCTCCTCTCGAAACGGAGAGTCAGTCTGTAATGGCGTCTTATAACTTTGGCCTCTGTGGTACTCCCACTCAGATGGGATCCGAGCCGCCCCCTTTGTTGTTTGTGAAAACCTGGTCCCTCGTACGCGGACCAGGCGCACGTGACACAGGCAGACGGGCTATTTAGCTTCGTCAGCTCCGGACCCCGCCTCCGCCCTTCTTGACTCTGTCCTGACACTGAACCCAGGTAGGTGGGGGGCAGAGAGAGTGCGGTAGATGCGACGCAAGTCACCGGTGCTGCACCCACCCTGTTGTGGGGGGTCCACGGTGGGCATCGTCGGTAACTACGGTCAATGTGTCTCTGGGAGCCGCTAACACAGCTTTTGCAGATATATCGATTTTAATTGCCTATGCTACCCCACCCCGCTGCCTCCGCTGTCCCGAGTTCTCCGACGAGCCAGCGTCAGATGCGTCTTTTTTTACCAAAAATTTTCTTTGTGATTGGTGATTTGCGTGGTCCAGCCCTTGACAGTTCGACCATCGGGTTTCTATGATGTCCACCGTGTGCCCCACAGTTGCAGCAGCAGTGGGAGCAGGGACGGTGACTTACGCAGGGGTTTATAGTGCCAGTAGACTTGCGTAGCATCTACCTACACTCTCTCCTCCTCCCTCGCCCGAGCCCGGTGTCAAGACAGAGTCCAGAAGACCGGAGACGAGGGAGGCCGCAGGTGGATGGCTCGGACGGATCCTCACCTTGGCGTTCCACCGGTCCAGCCCTTACCGGGCTCTAACAATTGCTTCACACATTCGGCTCAGAGTGAATACACTTCGTTTCTTTGATTGGGGGTGCTCGGCGGAATCATGTGTCAGATTATCGTAAGTCAGCATCGAGACTGGAGATGGGGAAATTCCCTGTACTCGCGATCGCTAGCGTAACGCATGCGGTGGTGTGGCCAAACGTGGAGGCTGGAAGGGAGGAGGTTGGGTGGCCTTGATTAATCTTGAACGCCGCAGACTTTCAGAAATTTGTGAGAAGATCTGGCACGCGACCGCAGCAGGCGTCATGAGAAGGAAAATGGCGGTCGACCAGGCGGAGGAAATCGACTACCGGGTAAACAAATATGAGGTATGTTCTGCGCATGATTAAAAAGGAAAATTCGCGAGTCTTGCTGAGCACCTTCTTGGGTGGCAGTTGAAAAAAAGTGTGATCTGAAAAAGAAACAGCCAGTAGCCTCACTCACAACACTCGACAGCATAGAGCAGTTGCAGGCTACAGGTAAACGTTAAGCAAGAAGTACGGACAAGCACATAGAAACGGTTATAGTTCGTTGACAAAGTGTGGATCCGGAGAGCAAAGGCACCCATGATGAGGAAAACAAAGTGCGTACCAAGTGTCAGAGCCCATGCAAATCACTAGCTGCAAACCTGTATTGAGCACTGGCTCTCTGAGCAACGTAGCAAGCGCAAGCAATTATAATCGATGCACCTGTGGAAGGTACCTCAGCCACTAACAGAGATGTGCGGCGACCAGACATCATGACCGGTCTGGCGTCATTGTTCAAGACCTCGCTGCCTCAAGGTCATTCACCCCTTGCAACGAGCCGCCCCAGACGTGCCGACCTGAAGCCGCTCGATCGACTTCAGCTCGGACACAATTGCGTCCGCACAGCGTCGCGACTACCCATGCGCCACCCCCTGCAACCGCAACCTAAGCCACTGGGACACCACCCCTCGGCAAATGCAACACACACTGACTGGACACCACTTGAGCTTGGCCCAAGAGCCTACAAAAGCGGCTGCCGCCACTATCTCAGTGACTCTCAGGCATGACTGGACGCAGTCAACACAAGCCCTGGTTTCGCCAGTAGCCACTGCCGCCTGAGAGGTTCTGTGCACAATAAACCCCTCACTCTGGTGCCTTCCGTCTTCGGCTTCCAACATGGGGTTTGACTTGATAATTGTAGATCACAAACTCACACACTTTCACCGCATAACCACCCCAGATAGAGCCAACGACACACTTGGAGCCCATAGGAGTGGCCAATCAAACAGCGATGCCTGTTCCGTTTTCAAGCCGGCCGACACTGTTGAAAAGTGCAGAAACAGTCCTGCGACATGGCGTTCAATTAACCAAGGACCTAGTTCAAGCCGAATTACAGGCCACTCGGATATGCGTGTCATGTCTTCCCATTGAATTCCGGTCTAACCGCTTCAGGATTTCCACGTACTTATTTTTAGAAAGAAATATTATTCTGGACAATTAGTCCTGGTTAGGTCATTTAAATCTCCGGGGTGGGTAGCGGGAAAATGGCATTAAAAGAAAACGTTGTGGGTTTGACACGCAGATAAGCACTCCCCCCCCCTCCCCATCTGCTGCAGATGACCCTGGGCTGAATTTTAGGGGGCACCCATGTACTTTTATCTCCCAACTTCAACAATAGCCCTTCGAACCCTAATACTAGCCACAACTCCAAATCTAACCGCCAGAATTTGGCGCAAGGACATATGCAATGCCAACAGGCGTGGCTGGAGGAAACCCGGCTTGGCGCGTCCCCAAACTTCGCCCCTTTCCTGGCCTGTCGGCGCCAGAGCGGCTATGTCACTCATAGGACTACTACGACGTAGCCTAAATGGCAAGCCAGAAGACCAGTCTGCCAGTAATTCAACGACCCTCCCATCAGCGATAGCTCGCAAAGCGAGACCGCCTCTAAGTGATCGAGCATAGACAACTCTGACTGGGCATCATAACTAGAGTTGTCCTGAAACCAGTTGCCGTTGGTGCGACTAGTGTGAATATTCCCAGTCCCAGGCGAAGACTAGAAGGCAAACGAGGTAGCCCCCAGGTCCTAGTCAGACAGGCTTATCTAGAATTGGGCGCTATTGGCTGCGGACGCAAAAGAACAAGTCCGTTCCCCGATCTGCCCGTCCACCCTTTCGGATTGTAACCACATTGAGAAATCTGAAATTAGATTAGGAAGTTCGAGCATGTTGGACATGTGAATGGACAGACTGAATGTTCCCGATCACGGCCGATAAGGCGTTCACTGACACCTCGCTGGCCATCGCGGTGCTCGACTTCGACAAAGCTAAATTCAGACCAATTACCCACCAGCATTGGTTTGGCACACGTTGACCCGGAAACGATCACTCGGTCCTCGATCATCTTCCACTTGTCAATTGCTGTCTTCCCGCCTGGCCGCTTCTGACATACAGTGGGTGGGTAATTCATGCACTGTCAGCCGAAATTTCGAAATGCTTTCCCGTTCCGAAAAGATTAATTAAGTAGAGTTGTAAAACTAATCACCATGCAGCATAATTATATAATAATTCAATTACCTCAGGGTGTAGGGTTTCGAACGAACTTCTTGCAGACTGCATGCCAAGAACTGTACTCTGCAAAAAATGAATACTTAAGTAGCATGCGTTTTTCCCATTGATTTTCGATGCCCATAAAAATTCAGTTATATTTCAAGGAAGACACGGATAAAAATATTCATTCTTTCGCTCATTCGGTAGAAAAGGGCGTTTTTTTCCAATTTTACTTTTAAAAGAAAGGTAGGCGGGAATACAGTGTCGCAACACTTAGAATTGTCTATTCCCCCACCAGCCTGTCTTACGGGCGGACTACTACTACTACCACCACCACTACTACTGCTACTACTACCACTACTACCGCTGTTACTACTAATGCTACTACCACTGGCGGGAATACAGTGTCGCAACACTGAAGAAAACTTTTTCCCCCGTCTACCACCACTGATACGGCGAATACTACTAATAATCCTACTATTAGTACTACTACTACAACCACCGCCACCACGGCTGCCAATGCTACTCTACCAACGCTTACAGTATGGGTAACTAACTGCAATAATACTAGCATCAGTAACGGAGTGTTGCGACACTGGTATCCAACCGAAAGGTATACTTCGGTTTTAAGTTTCTAATTGTGTGATTTTTTAATACCGTGAAATTGCCATTTATCAAACGTCATGTCTCTACATTTACTAATGTGGCTTGAAAATTTAACAATACGGCTCAAATCCGCTGTTAAATTTTATGAACCCGCAGGGAAATGTATGATTTTCCAGACGCAGAAAATATACGGCTTGTAGTTTGGGAACCCTGGATGCATGTGTAACGGCAGGTCGGGTTAAAAATTATTCGGGAATTGGAAAAGTTTTTAAAAATCGAATGATACCCTTCCTTCGGGTATAAAATTGGAAGAATACGCAATTATCTACCAAATGATCAAAAGAATGAATATTGTATGCATGTTCTCCATGGAATATAATTGACTTTTAAGGACATCGAAAATCAATGAGAAAATTGCATGCTGCATAAGTAGTCATGTTTTGCGAAATATAGTTTCTGCATGCAGTCGGAAATAAGTTCCCTCGAAAGAAGGCACCCTTAGGTAACTGGATTATTTTAGAATTATGCTGCAAAATGATTAGTTTTACAACTTTACTTAATTAATCTTTCCGAAACTGGAACGCATTCCGAGATTTCGGCTGACATTTCCCTAGTTAGCCCACCTACCGTCAGTGTGTCCCTCCTAGCAGTATGCGCAGACGGGCAAGCCGTCCAACATCTCAGCTCATTTCCCAAACAATGCCAACATGCACTTCCCCGGCTGTCTCACATTTCCTCAACCTTCAAACGAGACTTGTGCCGCACTGGAGACCACCATGGATGTTAGCCCTCCGTCTCCTCTCCGTCAGGCGAAGAACAGGTGGTACAGCCGAACGACGACGCAGCAGTTGGGCCATTTTCGGACCCTGCGCAAAGACCAGACAAGCTGCTTTAATCCCGAATCGCCGCCTTAGGTCAGACGAGTTCTAAAAATCTCCTGCTTACCCCTTTACCTAGTATGCACCCGTAACGCCTCACACACTGGGAGATTCTTGGTCAGCCTTGGTGCGAACTGGCTCAGGGTGCAGACAATCCCAGCGCCCAGGCTGATGCTCCAAGGATTTTGTCAATCTTCAAAAACGTTCGTGAGCAATCAATCATTGCAAAAGTTCGCATGCGGCAGGTAGGTCAGGCAAGTACTTTGCCTGACCCGTCGGGTCAGCACTTTAGGGTTCCCAATGGTAAGTTAGGCGCAGAGAGGTGATCCTTGTAACCCTGAAGACGATCCTCCGTGCGAAACACAGACTACGTCAGACCCGACAGTCCGCAAGCGTTGCAACGACACTGCGAGGATGCCCCTAGTCACCCAAGAAAGATAACATAGTTCAGGAGAGCGCCACACCGTCGGTCCAGTGAATTCAGGGTTGATACTTTGGCGTTACCGTAGCCACGTACGTCATACTGTCAAAAAGTAGGCCTGGAACCTCACTCGAGTGAATCCAGCTTGCTGTTGGCGCAGATCGTTGCACGTGGAGCAACAATATGGACAGCACCACTGAGATCAATCATACCAGGCATGGTGGCGCTCGTAGCAATCAGGAGCAATGTATCTGTTCAGTGCTGCTAAAGATCGGTTGATGTTGGCAGAACGGATGAGAAGCTCAGTTGGCGCCGAAAAACTTAAAAACTTCGCAGAGGCAAATAGTCCTGTCAGGAGTCAAGAAGGCTGTCGACATCGACTCCTCAAAAGTCAGCGGAAAAGTCTACCGATAAAAAGGATTGGAATAACAC